AAAGGTTAAACCTAAGGCTATACATTCAACCTAAATGGATCTATGGATTGCTCCAAATGAAAAAAGGGTGCCACAAGGAATTGAACCAATCTAGGCACACAGAAGTCCCATGACCAACAGAAACCTGGATAAGTCATTCATCTCACACTACATGCGTTCTCAGTGCTAGGATGTTTGCACTCAGCCATTTGTTTTGTGATTGGCCAGCTCTAATCATACAATTTTCAGTGCCAATACTTTCTGTTGCTCTCTGACCTCAATGTCTATAATCCTACCCCTCACCATTGGTACAGTACTTTAGAAGACCACCTTGAGTCGCCGACCAGCTGAGAAAGGCGGTATACAAATACAGTAAATATATAAATAGATATAAAAAGTGGGCTGTGGATAACAGAAACTCTTGCTATAATGTGTTAGTCTTAAGATGTTGTAGCACTGTTAGCTATTAGACTAATGTGATTGTAAGGCAGTGTAATGGTTATAAAGGGGACCCTTTGGCTCTGATTGTTCACCCACCTATAAATCTTTGCACAATCCATTGATTGCAGTAACTTTTAAATGTGTGTAACACTAAAGCTGTAGATTGCAAGGCAGCATTAGCACAAATAGAATAGATGTATGGTATGTCTGAGGCCACCCCCAATTTTATTTATCTGTGGAAGAAACTAGTCCTTTTAGAATTTTTGACATCTCCTCTGTTACTTAAGAGGTACAGCATATTAGTACCAGTAGCTATATGTTTATCATTTCCAGTGCAAGATGGGAAACATTTGGCGTTCCAGGTAACCTTACTTAGGCAATCCCTTGTTGTCCAAGTATAATGGCCTTCCAAGTTCTTGGAAGACCCCTGCGTATGAGATTTTTTGTAATGTGTGGAGGTCGGTCCACAGCCGATCAACACACAGAATTCACAGAGTGAGGGTCCAACCTGTGATCTGGTTAACATGATGACGGTGACATCTCAATCTGTTGCAGCCTTCTTCCGCCTTCACAGCCATTGTAGCATATACCATGTTATCTTCCACCTTATCCGCCCTTGAGGTCTTCAGATTGTGCTCGGTCTGGAACTTCCCTTGCCCCCCCCCCCCCGGTTCAGGATTGCATGTCTCCAACAGTTATGCCCTCAGGTTCATTGGAACATGCAAGCCTCCTCACCATGACAAGGATTGTCATTGTCATTGGGGCTTCTGGGACATGAGAGTAAAGCATTTAGAACAGCAAGAGAAACAGGACAGCAAGAGAGCGTGAAATGGTAGACCAGTGGTTCTCAACCTTCCTAACGAAGCGGCCCCTTAGTACAGTTCCTCATGTTGTGGTGACCCCCAACCATAACATTATTTTCATTGCTACTTCATAACTGTGATTTTCCTGCTGTTATGAAAATGTAAATATCTTCATAACTGTGATTTTCCTGCTGTAATGTAAATATCTGATATGCAGGATGCATTTTCATTCACTGGACCAAATTTGGCACAAATGCCCGATATGCCCAAATCTGAATACTGGTGGGTTTGTGGGGGGATTGATTTTGCCATTTGGGAGTTGTAGTTGCTGGGATGTATAGTTCATCTACAATCAAAGAGCATTCTGAACTCCACCAACAGTGGAATTGAACCAATCTAGCCACATAGAATTCCCATGACCAACAGAAAATACTGGAAGGGTTTGGTGGGCATTGAACTTGAGTTTGGGAGTTGTAGTTCACCTACATCCAGAGATCATAGTGGACTCACGCAATGTTGGATCTGGACCAAACTTGGCACAAATACTTAATATGGCCAAATGTGAGTTTGGGGGAAATAGACCTTGACATTTGGGTGTTGTAGTTGCTGGGATTTATGGTTCACCTACAATCAAAGAGCATTCTGAACCTCACCACCACCACCGATAGAATTGGGCCAAACTTCCCATACAGAACCCCCATGACCAAAAGAAAATGCTGTGTTTTCTGATGGTCTTTGGTGACCCCTCTGACCCCCCCTCGTGACCCCCCAGGTTGAGAAACACTGATTTAGAAGGCCAGAGTTTCCACATCCTTATTCAAGTTGTTGCTTTCTTTTTATAATAACATAGCTCAGAAAATGGTGCTCCATGCAGTCATGCTGGCCACGTGACCTTGAAGGTGTCTAAGGACAATGCCGGCTCTTCGGCTTAGAAATGGAGATGAGCACCAACCCCGCAGAGTCGGACATGACTGAAGTTAATGTCAGGGGAAAACTTTTACCTTTACCTACAAAAAACAAATGGCTTTGATATTTCTGAATGCAGAAAAAAAGCATTTGACAATGTATCTTGATCATTTAGTAGGCTATAGTAGAGAATAAACTATTTGGATTTCAGCATCCAACTAGTCTACTTTTGTAACATTTTGCCAGGTGAAGAAATTTGAAGATTTGGAAAGCTTGGTCAGAGAGATTCATGTGTTATATGTGTATATCTGTGTGTGTAAATTCGTTTGTGCCATGGAAATAAAGTATAAATTTGTTGGAACTGGAAAGTTTTATTTTTATTCTTGCATTTTCCGCAACTAGATTAATTTGCTTTGCAAATGCTAACAGTGCTCCCAGCGCTCAATTGGACAGAATAGTGTCAGTCCTCTGCATCCACCAATTCAACTATCTACAAGTTCAAAATGTGTAAGAAATCATAAATAAACCTTGATTTTGTCACTTTATATAACAAACATCATTTTATTACATTATATATAATGGAACGTATGTGTGTACAGTGGTTTTGGTATCCATGAGGGGTCCTGGAACCAAAACCCAGCATATACCAAGGATTTGCTGTAGTATAAAAGATTAACTTGGCAAAAAACAACAAAAAACAACAAAACAAAAAAGCCTTATAAAAACCCACTGGTCATTAATTGCCCAGACTTAGTTTGTTTAATGTTGTGAGAAATCTCTAATCTTAGTTTTGGGAAAGAATGAAATTCAACAGAGGCAGGGTTTTTTTCCCCTCAAGGAGAGTCTCCATCCCTGTCTTTGTGTGAAGGATGAGCCCAATTGGAAATGGTTTCTTTTTCTATCATATCAGGCATTTTGTACCATCTTTTCATCTCTTTTAAATCACTCACTAGGTTAGATACTAAAAGACAGGTAGGCCTTATACTCCGGGCCAATGGTTTGTCACTGTGGATTCTAGGGCACACTACCAATAAAAGCGAGGAGAACGACAAAGTCATCCAAAAAAAGGGAAAGAAAAAGGCACACATCCCTTTTCTTCCACATCCTTGATTTTGCATCCCTTTTCTTCCATATCCTTGCTTTGGTTAAAAAAATAAATAAATCACAAACCTTATTTTAAGTCATTAGAAGCATTTCTGTCTTAGTGCCAGCATTGCTTTGCACCTCAGCCTCCGCAATAGCAGCAGGCTCACTGGCACAGGACAGATGCTCATGGGGCTGTCATAGTGTACGCTCTTGATTTCTTTCCAAAAACACAGGGAAAGGCTGTACAGTTTGCCTGGCACGAAATTATCGCTACATGTTCCTGAATATTTAACATTACCTTCAGTTGAACTCTTGAAACTCGCTGCTCTCAGTGTTGTTCGTTTGCCATGACTTCAAAATTTCTGAAAATTATATATCTCATGAGGTACCAGGAATGCTTAAATATACCTTCTTTGTGAACTCACACAATAGAATTGAAGTTGGCAAACCTATCTCAGTTTTGGTCCATTTCAGGGGACAAACAATTGCATTGTTTTTAATGTGAGGCTAATTTTAGAGAGGAATGTGGATCATCTATATCAATGGTTCTCAACCTTCCTAATGCCACGACCTCTTAATACAGTTTCCTCATGTTGTGGTGACCCCAACTATAAAATTATTTTAATTGCTACTTCATAACTGTAATTTTGCTACTATTATGAATCATAATGTAAATATCCGATATTCAGGATGTATCTATTCACTGGACCACATTTGGCACAAATACCTGATATGCCCAAATTTGAATATTGGTGGGGTTGAGGGGGATTGATTTTGTCATTTAAGAGTTGCAGTTGCTGAGATTTATAGTTCACCTACAATCCAAGAGTATTCTGAATTCCACTAAAGACCACACAGATCTCCCATGACCAACAGAAAATACTGGAAGGGTTTGGTGGGCTTTGACCTTGGTTTTGGAGTTGTAGTTCACCTATATCCAGAGAGCACTGTGAACTCAAACAATGATGGATCTGGACCAAACTTGGCACAAATAATATGCCCAAATGTGAACACTGGTGGAGTTTGGGGAAAATAGACCTTGACATTTGGAAGTTGTAATTGCTGGGATGTATAGTTCACCTGCAATCAAAGAGCATTCTTAACCCCACCAATGATAGCATTTGGCCAAACTTCCCACACAGAACCCCCATGACCAACAGAAAATACTGTGTTTTCTGCTGGTCCTTGGTGACCCCTCTGACAATTCTTTGCGACCCCCCAGGGGTCCCGACCCCCAGGTTGAGAAATGCTGATCTATATGTATACACTTGATTTCTCTCCTTACCAGTTGATTTCCATCTAAAAATTTCCATCTAAAATTCATTTTAGCATGGTCTAATACTTAGGTAACGATAAAAGCAGCTGAAGAAGGGAGCAAAGAAACTGAAAAGTTAAGACATCCAAGGGGTTAAGTCCGTGATGGTGAACCTATGACACGTGTGTCAGCTGTGACACGCATGGCTATTTTTGATGACACGCAGACACATGCGGCCACATACAGAGAAATACACCTTGTAAGAGCCAATCTAATTCCATCCTTAAATTTGTAAAAGGCGCTACAAATTTAACATCTGCACGTTTGAGCATTGTTCACTCCATAACTCAGCATGGATTATACGTTTTTCTTATTTAAACTATAAATATTGCAAAATTATGGGTTTTTTTCTCAAAGTGACACTCCACCCAAGTTATGCTCAGGTTTTTGGCAAATTTTGACACACCAAGCTCAAAAGGTTGCCCATCACTGGGTTAAGTGCTCATTTTCTTCCTGTCTCTTTTCTGCAGCAAATTTCCACTTCCACGGCTTCCTTCACTGTAACATACAATTTGCTCCTACATCTTATTCAGGCTACACTGATGGAAATATTTAATTAGATCAGTCACCCGGAAACTCACCGCTGCAATATTTTGACAACCTAGGAGACTGATGCTTGATACAGAAAAAGAAGGCAAAGTATGTTCTGATTGTGTCATTTCTTCAATAACTTGCAAATATGTTCTGCAAATGTGGGGGAAGATTAGGACCTGAACTGTTGTGTCATGAAAGGCAGTGGAATAAAGGTTTTCTTGCAATGCTTCAGGGACTTATCACAACATATATAAATCAGTTATTCTCTTCCCAAGATACATCATACCTGGTTCACAGTTCTAAAGGGAAGGACAGCTACACTTATAATTAATGCAGCTTGACACCACTTTAAATGTCATGGCTCAATGCTAAGGAATCAAGGGATTTATAATTTGATGATATACCTCCATTCTTTGGCAGAGATGACTAAAGACCTTGAAGACTATAGCTAGCATGCTTTCATAGCATTGTTTCACAGAAGTGAAAAGTGGTGTCAGGTTGCATTGTAGATCAACAGTGTCGATCAGTGGTTCCCAGCCTTTTTTTGATGAGGGACCACTCTCCAACATTAGTACCAAAAGAGTTACAAATCAGTTTTTAGATTTGGTTTGGTTATTTGTGGTGCTGATTGGATAGACCACATCAGCTCTAGTTTCTGATACAGAACATATGCTATCTAGTAGTCACCATCTGCTCGCCCACAGAAAGCCATATTTAATAAGCCTTGGCTCTATAAGAGGGTTTTGAGAGACCAGCCACTCTTGTTGCAACGGTGTGATAATGGTGAGGCTGCGGACCATATTTTAGTTCTTGCAGACCACTGGTGGTCCTCAGACCATAGTTTGGACATCACAGATATAGATAGATGCACCTATAGTGGACGTTCAGAGTATTCAGTTATCAGTATTTTTAAACACAGTAGAATATCTACACCTAAATAGAAATATACATTTAACAGAGAAAAAACCACAGAGGAAAATCCATGCCTGCTACATACTTTCATAATTGCATATTTCAAAATTAATATCCTTCATCCAGCACATGAAACTAGAAAACTATAGAGCGGTCCTCTAGACCAGGGTCCTCAAACTTTTTAAACAGAGGGCCAGATCACAGCCCCTCAAAGTGTTGGAGGGCCAGATTATAATTTAAAAAAACACACGAATGAATTCCTATGCACACTGAACATATCTTATTTGTAGTGAAATAACACTATAATAATTAAAATGAAGAACAATTGTAACAAACATAAACTTATTAGTATTTCAGTGGGAAATGTGGGACTGCTTGTTGTAATTGTTGCTGTTGTTGTTGTTGTTGTTGTTGTTGTTGTGTGCTTTCAAGCAATTTCAAACTTAAGTTGACCCTAAGCGAGGGCCAGGTAAATGACCTTGGAGGGCTGTATCTGGCCCTCGGGCCTTAGTTTGAGGACCCCTGCTCTAGACATTTAGACTGTAGTCAATGGTTAGGCTGCAGTCCAAAAAAAGCAGGAGGATCACAATGAGGTAAATGAATGCAGTTTGTCACCACTTAAACTCCTACAGGTCAATGCTATGGAATCCTGGAAGCTATAGTTTGGTGAGGCTCCAGCACTCTGGTAAAGAAAGCAAAATATCTGGCAAAACTATACATTCCATGGTTCCATAGCATTGGTCCATGACTGAAAAAATGGTGTCAAGCTGCATTATTTCCATAGTACCCCTAATTCTAGCACAGAAGCAAATTAATGTACAATATATACAAAAGTTAAAAGAAGACTGTTAGATTTAACAGAGGCTGCTCTTATCCTGAAGTAATGAAGAAGGAGTGAGAGAGCAGGAATGAGTGCTTGCATGAATGTACACAGTAAGACAGGAAAAATTGCTTGGCTTTAGAGATGAGCAATTCACATCTGCTTCTGTAATCACTTTCCATGTCAATGCTCTTGCAGATTTAAAATTAATGGCAATTTCATTCACTCTAGTCTTCTTTATTGCAAAGACAGGAATCATGCAGCTCTCCAGATATGGAGACGAACTACAACTCCTGGGATTCCATAGCATTGAGCCATGGCAGTTAAAGTAGGATCATCTGCAAAAATTCTACAGTATAGATGCACTCCTGAATCTCTTGACAGAATTTTCTTCTTTGAAGAACAGTTATGATATTCTGATTTTAAATACTGCTATTGTTTTGTTTTTGTTTTGTTTTTTGTTCTTGTTTTTTTCTTTTGGTTTTTTTTTTTTTTGGAAAGGCATTACTGTAATTCCAGACCTCCTTTCCCTTCTATCTGTAGAGGACTCTGGGTTTAATGCTTCATTAAAGCTGTTTCTACTCTAAAGAAGACAGGCGTTGCAGGCAGGCGCACATGAACTCTCCCTGCAGCACACACACAGTTTTTCAAGGCGTTTTAAGGAGGCCCAGGGAAGGAAGACCAATGACCTTGAGCTATCCTGCCAGGGCTTCCTTAAAAAACTCCTCTCTTTTATCTACTGCCGGGTGTAATGCTCCTTAAAGCTGTTTCTACTTTCTACTCTAGAGGTAACTAGTAGTTTTCTGAGAATGAGGCTTCTCTTTTTGTTTGCTGGGATTACCATTATTAATAATTATTATTGTATTCTAGAAGTACTTTCTGAAGGAGAGGAAGGGAAGGAGAAAAAGAAGCTAAAGGATGACTTTCCAAGCTGCTAAACATGCACATGCACACCCCACCCACCTGTCTTGCAGATTCCCAACTCCCAATCAGTCCCACTAATAAAAAGAATCAAGAAAAATAAAGGAAAATCAAAAAGATTCAACTGTGATACTGAATAGGGGAGGAGAAGCCGTGATCGGCTGCCACGTGGTCCCATTACAGACGTTACGGCCATTGGACCAAACTAAAGAAGACAGATAGGCCAAAGGAAACAGCTAAAAACGGATTCAGGCTCAAGCCTAGTCACAAGTAGATGTAGTCAAGATTAAATATGATAAGTTTTTTTGATACCGAGAAATCGTACCCCAAATTATGAATTATAAAAAGTGTATAAATAATAAGACACAGCTCCATTAGGACTTTGTTGTATTGGATTGTCTTTGGAATGATGCCTAACACACCTGGACCCCAGGCAACTATCCTGCCACAATTTCTCCAATTTCCATAGTCCCTTCAACACTAACTGGGAGACATGAGGGAGCACACAATGAATTTGAGTCAGAGTCACTTTTTTCCCTGATATGATTGGGGCTATCTTGACCCATGCCCCAAGCCAGCCTCACGCACACAGCACCTATTGAAATGGTCATCACCTTCAGGCGTCCAATGTATACTGTGAACTAACCCCATTGCGTCCAGTGGAGCCCAGCCATGGAGGCCTACTGGCTGTTAGGAATTGTGGGAGTTGAAGTCCAAAACACGTGGAGGACCAAAGTTTGCCCCTGCCTGAGGTGGACCATTATGTTGCTTCCGCCTTCTATTTTATTATTTATTTATTTATTTATTTATTTGCCAGATTTATATCTCACCCTTCTCACCCCAAAGGGGATTCAGGGCGGCTCGAACAAAGGCACAATTCGATGCTTTGAGTACATATAAAAATAAAACAAAATAAAATCACATAATTGAAACATATCACTTAAAATTACACAGCCAAAAAGCATATTCCAGGAGTCATTCCAATTGTCATTGTTCATTATTACACTGAGAAATCACTTGTTGCGCTGGGAATCATTGAGCAAACTCTTGGTCCCAAAACCAGAATTTAACTTTCTTCCTGAAGGTCAGGTGGGAGGGGGCTGATCCATAGAATTCCATAGCCAAGGGGCCACCACCGAGAAGGCCACCAATCATGCCTGCAAGGGAGGTGGTATCGAGAGCAGGGCTCCTCCGGAGGATCTTAACCTCTGAGATGGCTCATAGAGGGAGTTATGTTCGGACAGGTAAGCTGGGCCAGAACCGTTTAGGGCTTTATAGGCTAAAACCAGCACTGAATTATGTTCGGTAGCAGATTGGCAGCCAGTGGAGCTGACGTAACAGGGGGCTTGTATGCTCCCTGTATGCCGCTCCAGTGAGCAACATGACTGCCGCCCATTGGACCAATTGAAGCTTCCGAACAGTCTTCAAGGGCAACTCCACATAGAGCGCGATGCTGTAGTCTATCCAAGATGTAACAAGAAGGTGGACTATCGTGGCCTTGGAAGTTGCAGTTTTCTAGTAGGGTCTGGATGGTCTTTGTAAAATCCATCACTACTTCATCACACTACATGAATCCACTTAAAATCTGGTTCCTGCCTCCTGCAGAATTCTGGGTTTTGTAGTTTTGGGCGGGCTGTTCAAGGCTCCTCCCTAAACTAAAAACTCCAGAATTCTGCAGGAATAAAAGGGATTTATTCTCTAGTGTGATGAAGGTATGATAGGGTACATCTGCACTGCAGAATGGATGCACTTTGACACCATTGAGACAGCCATGGCTCAATGCAATGGCCTTGTTGAAACTACAATTCTCGTGAATCCATAGGACTGAGCCAGGGCAAATAAAGTGCTGTCAAGCTGCGTTCATGCTACAGCCTAGATTCCCCCAACCAAGGAAGCACAGCAACCAAGGAAGGTGAGAAGCAAGCGCGCCAGAAGAAGGCAGGGCTTTGGCTGCAGCTTGAGAAGAGCTGCAAAACTACAATTCCCGGCATGCCTCAGCGAGAGGGCTCTTCCGGCCCCGCCCTCACCAGTAGCCCTTCCGTATTGGAGGGCAGGCGGGCAGGCAGAAGCCTTTCCCGCTTAATTAAGGCTTTGCCTCCTTTCAGTTGTGACTGTGGAGCAGGGCTCAACGCCTTTGCTGTTCTCCTCCAACGAATAACCCCATGGAGGTAAGGCCAGCATGTCTCTGTCTTGGGTGCAAACACACCGCAGCATCAGTGCAAATTGTTGGGCGCCAGTTCCAACTGCCATGGCTGCATGCTGTGGAATCATGGGAGATGTAGTTTCACAAGGGCCCGAGACTTCTCCCCCCCAGGGAGGACTGGGGCTTCACCAAGCAACCATTCCCAGGATCCCATAGCATGTGGCAGCTAAAGGGGTGTCAACCTGCATTAATTCTACAGTGTAGATACAGTATTTAGATGGGTTGTTGTAGGTTWTTTCGGACTATATGGCCATGTTCTAGAGGCATTCTCTCCTGATGTTTCGCCTGCATCTATGGCAAGCAGCCTCAGAGGATGACCTCACAACCTCTGAGAATGCTTGCCATAGATGCAGGCAAAACATCAGGAGAGAATGCCCCAGTGATTCCGGCCATGAAAGCCTTTGACAATACTTCAGACAAGAGTTCTTTCTCCCACCCTGGACGTCATTCTACAGGTATATAAATACAACTCAYCTAATTTCCAACAGACCTCGCAACCTCTGAGGATGCCTGCCATAGATGTGGGTGAAACGTCAGGAGAGAATGCTTCTGGAACATGGCCATACAGCCCCAAAAAAACTCACAACAACCCAATTATTCTGGCCATTAAAGCCTTTGGCGACACATTAAACTCCCATTCATTGTAAGGCTGTGTGTTTTCTAAATGCAAATAGGTGTTGAAGGAGGCTGGAGCAGTGGCAGGGAAGAAATGGGGTAAAAGCTCCCTTTCTTGCTTGCCATAGTCCTGACCCCATTGTTTGGTTATTTAACAAATCAGTCATTCTGAATGCAAAATTGTATTGCAATAACCCCATGGTTTTTGTCTACTGACCAGCAGCCTGTGCAAAAGATATGAAAGAAATAATTCTATTCTAAGCATAGGAATTGTGTTTAGTGGCTTAAATGCCCTAAAAGCACTAGATGCCATCTAATTTTGGAAGAGTCTGCCATGGTAAGTGCTTGGATAAGAGTTGTAGGCTATACTCGGGAAAAGTAACTTGCAAAACCACTTCTAAAGTATTCCCTGTTAAATCAGTGAGGTCACGATACGTCAACAGGTGAAGACACACACACACAGACTTTTTCAACTTTCCAAGATAGCTGGTGAGGTAGGCTAATCTAGGATTTTCCCCTTTTCTTTCACTGTTCACATTTGCTCAAGTGATTGTAGAGGCATCCACCAACCTTGCCTGCTGTATGTAAGCACACAAAGCTACACCAGGATCACCTGCAAGAAAGAAATCCGCCTAGGGCCCTTCCACACAACCCTACATCCCAGAATATCAAGGCAGAAAATCCCATATTATCTGCTTTGAACTGGACTATATGGCAAGGTGAACTCAGATAACCCAGTTCAAAGCATATATTGTTGGATTTTCTGCCTTGATATTCTGAGATAAACCAACATTAAACAAAGTTTTATTTTGATTCTTCCAGCTTTAGGACCAATTTGATGATCATTAAGCCGTCCTGAGTCCCTCTGCGGAGGTTGAGAAAGGACGGGATATAAAAGCCCCAAATAAATAAAGTCATTTCATCATACAGTTTTGGAATTGTGGTTTAATTACTACATTATTGCAACGAAACCAGTAATTAAAGTCCTTTTTCTCCCTTTTTCTCAGGCAACGGAGCGTGTTGTGCCTTCAAAGAGGGCTGAGAATGCTGCTTCTCAGGAGGAAGGTGGTGATGACGACATTGTATTTGTTGGTGTACGTAGATACCTTGTTTTTAAAATCTATAAGCAGAATACTGTTTTACTCCCCCCCCCCCCCAGGATGGCTTTATGCCCGCCATAGAATCATAGAGTTGGAAGAAGCCACATGGGCCATCTAGTCCAACCCCCTGCCATGCCGGAAAATCACAGTCAAACTATCCCCAACAGATGGCCATCCAGCCTCTGTTTGAAAGCCTCCAAGGAAGGAGCTTCCACCACATTCTTACAGTCAGGAAGTTCTTCCTAATGTTTAGGTGGAATCTCCTTTCCTGTTATTGGAACACATTGCTTGAAGTCTTAGGTTTCAGGGCAGCAGAAAACAAGCCCGCTCTCTCTTCTTTATAACACCCTTTCACATATTTAAACATGGTGATCATGTCTCTTCTCAACTTTCTGCAGGCTAAACGTAGCCAGTTGTTTAAGCCACTCCTCATAGGACATGATCTCCAGACCTTTGAGCATTTTAGGCCCCTTCCACACAGCTGAATAAAATCCCACATTATCTGCTTTGAACTGGAATATATGGCAGTGTAGACTCAGAGTTGTGCTGGAGGACTTTGAAATGCTTACAAATGTATTCCCTTGGGTTAAAAAAGGAACATATTTATTTGTGGTTTTTCATGGTGATGGGAGGGGCTGTCTCTAACCCCAGTAAATGTGTATTGTTTACTGTACTTGGTAGACAACTGAGGCAGAAGACAGTGAAGGAGAAAAACAATAAGGAAGAGGAGAAAATGAACATAATCATGTGTAAAAGGAGGGCTAAGCAATACATTGTTGAGAGGAATGGCACCTTCCCTGTTCTTCCCACCTACCTTCACATAGACTTTATTTTCAAAGCATATTTCTCGCTAAAATAATTGCTCATTGAAGCGATGAACCTAGGGCCTGTTTCTAATTCTTCCAGACTAGGACAGTGTATATTGATGTTTCAGTTACTTCTCCCCATCAAGCAATTAAAAACAGGTTTCTTCTAGTACAAAAACTTCCCTGGGTTGTGGAATATATGATCAATTGGTTGCTGGTTGGTGATTCAGCTTGAACTGAACTCTGTAATAATATGAGTCAGAAAATAATAATTTGAATTGAGTCACAATAATTTCTCAATTTTGTGTTTGTGCATATACAGTTTCTTAGGATGTGTTGTTTTTGCAAGTGTATGTAGAAGGAAATAAACCACTGCTTAAAAGGCAAATGTTTGTTCACTTTTCTAGGAAAGTGTCGTGAGACCTGTCTTGGACTGTATTGACCTCAGCAGTGATGAGGAAGATGGTAGCAGCTCTTCTAAAGTAAGTGTTTACTGAACGTAATTGAAGAATAAATTGGGAATCCTTGTGGTCTGAGAGGCAACACCGGTGTTTCTTTCTCAGGCGCATCCTTTTCCAAGCATGTTCTGCAACATCATGTTTCATTTTAATTGGAAAGCTATCCTACCTGGATGGTGAGCTAATCACTTGTGTAGGTCCCAGCATTCCTCCTCACATTGCAGGAAAATTGGACATCGATACTCCTCTTAAAAATTATTTTTTTCAGTTGTGGGAAAGGAATCCTTCTCAGCCTGGTTGATGGGCGTTTTGAGTGTTTGGCTCCTCTTGGTGTGTTCTTTGTTTGTCTGGAGCTGTGCCATACCTTCACATTGGGACTAGCCTTCCCTCTTAGAGTGGCAAGGGTGAATTACAGATTTGGAAACCCTACCTATGAAGTAAGAGAGAGGAGTCAGATCTAGTATAGGATTCCCTCCCTAGAATTTCAGAAAATGAACCTAAACCTTCACAGTGGATACCAGTGTCCCAATCTCTGCCTATCTATCATTCAGTTAATCAGTCCATAAAAGTGGAAACTCAGGATCCGATGTGTAAACCATATTTTCAAGTGGTGATGAGTTCAACTTTTGAGGTATTTCTGAACAATTGCATTAATAGTCATGTGGAAGATCTGAAGTATTTTCAGCTGAACATACAGAAAATCCTCTTTAGATCTTCTCGTTCATTGTGGCCCATACAGTCAATGTGGGGCATACATAAACAAATACAAGCAATAATGCCTAAATAGAACTTATAATTTGGTACACATGTAGGCTATTAATTTCTAAGTCAAACAGTGTAAAATACATTTCATGACTCTTGTTCACTCGAGACCATCCCTCTTAAATATATGTATTTTCAAATCATTGAATGCAATTTGTGTGTTTTTTTCACACTTCTTCCAGGTCCTAAACTGCTAATAGCTAAGCCAAGTAAAGTGTCACCAGCCTCCCAACAGGTCTGCAGCATAAACAGCTATTTGTGATGTAATTGAAAGTGACATCATAAATCTCTAGGCTAAAACTCTACACAGTGAATATGCAGTAGGTAATGGGATGAGGAAGGGGTTGATGATGGAGACCAATGGGGTAGGTTAAACTTTTCTTACAGCTTGATCTTTCTGCCACAGGAATGTCACCTCTGTATCAAGCTCTTGTCCTATGTCCAAACCAATCAAGTATGTAGGGTCTTTAAAAAGAGGACAAGTTTCATAGTTGAGCTACTACTCCATCATTGGTTATTGGAATACAGACCAGCCACTTCATCATACTAGAGGAAAAATCCACTTAAAAACCAGTTTCTGCCTTCTTCAGAATTCTGGGGTTTGTAGTTTAGTGAGGCTGTTAAAGGCTCCTCCCTAAACTACAAACCCCAAAATACTGCAGGAGGCAGAAACCAGATTTTAAGTGGATTTTTTTCTCTAGTGTGACATTGTTTAGAGCTTCAAATATTTGTTAACTTTGTGTTTTGGTAGCACTTTCTTCTCTGTTTCTTTTTCCCTGCCACCTCCTATGGGAGGCAAGGAGGAGACTGCTGTGGAGGAATACATAGCATTCTTCTCTCATGCCAAATTTTGGAGCCGTTTTTTGTGTTTGATTCTCTGGCAGTTGTAGTTGGATTGTAATTTCGAAATGCTACTCTTCATTTGTAGGAAAATGGAAAGAAGAAAGATTACATCGATTATCAGAAGGATAAGGTAATGTCAACTCTCGATCGTCTAGCACGGCATGTTGAGGTAGAAAAACAACTGAAAGAAGAGAAAAACAAAGCTTTCAAGGTAGGCTGTTTTACAAATATGGAACAAATGTTATAGCATGGTTTTTTTAATGGCGTAGTTTTAAAAGTATAGTTTTAAAACTAAATGGCATATGTTGAGTACTTTGAATGCTGTTTTCTGCCTCTTGAGAGGGGTTTGGAGTGGATGGTCCGCACGGTCTCTTCCAACTCTATGATTCTGTGAGTGCTTGGCAATTTCATTTTGTAGTATTCATTAGTTATCTAAAAACATCTTCCTAACCATCTGCTCATTCTTGAAGTCTGTTTCATACAACTGTAGGATCGGCAGGAATCCCTAGGTTTTAATAATAATAATAATGCACTTTATCTATATTCTGCTCTAACTCCCCGAGGGGGCACAAAGCAGACTACAACATACACAGATAGGCAAAACATTCATTGCTTTTAATACAGTGAAATAACAATGACACACAAATACACACAAAGACTTCCCCTTCCATTGTTGGCTTCTGGAGGAGGTGCTCAACTCTGGCCATGGGGAAGTGCTCTTTTTCCATTTTCAAGCCAAGGAGCCTGTTGTCCATAGACACCTCCTGGTCACGTTGCTGGCATGGGTGCCTTTATTATCTTCCTGTCAAAGTGGTACCTGTTGATCTACTCACATGTTTCGAATTACTGCGTTGGCAGGAGCCAGGGCTTAACAGCAAGAGCTCACTTCGACCCAAGACTTTCAACTGCCAACCTTCAGGTCAGCAGTTCAGCAGCACAGGGGTTTAACCTATTGCACCAGTCATGGCCTCTGACATGCATTCAGCCTTCCAATAGCCACTGACCACTTGTTTTTGTGATATAACTTTCGTGAACTCAGCTAACCCTAGGTGTCAGTCATATCTAGAAGATTCTGCTCGTAAGAGTCTTCTGCCGTCCTATGTTTTGCTCTCAGTTTGTTCTCTTCTGTTATTCCAGAAATAGGTAGGCAAGGGGAACATCTACAGTACAATTGCACTGTGCATTGCCTACATTGTTGCCTTATCTGGCAGCCCACCATTACTAGTGCAGGTATAAAGCAATAGACTTTAAAGACAAATGTTGGTATGTTAAGGAATATATCACTAACGGTGTTGAGGGAAACTACATTTGGTTTTGCTCTCACTCTTTGTTTTCATTGTAATCATTATTAAATATAGAAGTCCCTGTAGTTATGCAGACATCCTCAACTGTTGGTGGTCTTCTCCAAAGAACATTTTGTTCTCAGTTTATCTTCCAGTTGGAAAAACAATAGCTTCTGGGTTGACATTGAACTGGTATGATTGTGGGGGAGTCACTGAAGAGGGATATGTACAAATACTCTGCCTACAGAAATTGAATGATGGTTTAAAATTTTGATGTTTCCCCAAAGAAAATAATCTTTAATCTTTTTAAATGATGGAAAAATAGTGCAAGAATAAGCAACTTGAAGACCTGTAAACTCTCTCATACCCTTATTGTGGCAATGTGATTTTGGCACATTCCCAGCATTGAGGCCCATCTGAGAGTATGCACTGTGAGCCTTTCATTATCTAAGTGTTAAATATTCTTGGTATATCAAACTCCTTTTGAATTTCCATGCACACAAAACTACAATGAGATTCAATTTGTAATCCCAAAATGTTGTGATTTACAGGAGAGGAGGGAAAAGGACATTGTTGTCCTAATTCCTTTATTTTCAATATTTTATTTATTTATTTATGACATTTCTACCCCACCTTTCTCTGTCTTGAAGGTGACTCAAGGCAACTTACACATAGGCAACTATTCGATGCCATAAAACAATGTACAATTAAAACAAACATTTAAATAGAATTATAAAATACATTAAAATGATTACAGTAAAAACATTTAAGACAATATCTTCACAATCACAATCCTCAAGCATAATCTGGACCATTCCAATAGGCATTGCACATCATTCCATATCTATCTATTGCATAAGTATAGCAGTGGGATGTTTATATTTTAAACCTGTAATGAACGTAAGTCTACTTGAATCTTTGTCTGCTGAGAGCATCAAATAGAAACAAGATATTTACATGCCCAGTGATCACCCTGTACCCAATAAACTAAAGGAATACTTCCGAAACTCTGCTACCCAAGAGGTTATGATCCTAACAGGTCATAATCCCCAATAGGTTATGATTGTATCAGGTCATAATCCATATCCCAATATACAGTTCCCAAGTTACCATCATGATAGGATCTTTAAGTTTAATGTATTGTCGAAGGCTTTAGGTTTGCCCTTAAGTTGAATTTGTATGTTAAGTTGGAACAAGTGCATTTTAAGTGTAACTCCAGATATACATAGGTTTGCATAGCTGTCTGATTTCACCTTTCTTTCTGTCCCTGTGTCATTTGTAAGTTGGATTTTTGTAAGCCAGGGACTTCTTGTATAGAGATCAATTTTTCTATATCAGTTCTCGCTCAGTGTGACTGATTTCCAGGAAAAAATACTAACAGCTTCTGTTCTGTTAGGAAAAACTGGATTCTCAACATGCTCATGGACTACAAGAGCTGGAATTTATCAAAGGTCGCAGTGACACAGAAGCAGCAAGATTTTGTGTGAACCAGTGGTTAAAAATGCCAGGTAATATATTGGTACATTCATTTTATGATACGGAGAATGGGAAAAGAGTCCTTATAAAGGTGTGGTCAGTATTGAATCTCTTCTTCATTCCAGAGGTGTGAAGAGAACAAGCAGGGGCAAGAATACCATCAAAGTAGGGAGGTTCTTGAGCATCATGTTTCCTGTTAAGGGGCAATGCAGTGAGCTCTCCGGGGTTAGGGGCACAGGACCCAAGCAAAAGTGAAAAACAGTGAATCAGAAAATGCTTTTTTTTACCTGAGAGAACACCTCTCAAGGAATTTCTAGGTCTTCTAACACATCTCTATCTAGATTCAACTTCTCCTGGAAACTGACCATAGACTACCACTAGACAACTTAGAGGTTTCTAGAAATGTATTCCCTAAGAAACTAGTCCTCCATGGTTCTGTGGTCAGCTTCTGGAGGATGTTGCATTAGAGCAGTGGTTCTCAACTTGCGGGTCCCCAGATGTTTTGGCCTTCAACCCTCAGAAACCCTAACAGCTAGCAAACTGGCTGGGATTTCTGGGAGTTGTAGGCCAAAACACCTGGGGACCCACAGGTTGAGAACCACTGCACTAGAACAGGCATTCTCAAACTGTGGCTCTCCAGCTGTTTGGGCCTTCAACTCCCATAATTCCTGACAACTGGACAAGCTTGTTAGGGCTTCTGGGAGTTGGAGGCCCAAATAGCTGGAGGGCCGCAGTTTGAGGATGCCTGCACTAGAGAGACCTAGATATCCCAAGAGGTTTTAATCAATCCATTCATAATCAAATCTGCAAAAGTCAATGCCACAAATGTGGAATACCAACGTAATTTAAGATTTATATTGCACTCTGAGTGTTCACAGCCCAAATTAAGCCATTCTTTTCTCCATATAATGAATCTTAGATAGTAGAACTGGAAGGATTTTCTTTCTGGGTGTGAATCTTGCAACCCTCCAAATTTTGGAGGGTTGCACATATCAGCAGCCCTACTCAATGTAAACATCAATAAGGCATTCTTGGAGTTGCTCTCTAACAACATTTGGAAGATCACATCTTTCCAGCCTCTGCCATAAAGAAATCTCTTTGATGTTTATTGCCAACTGCATGTGAACGTAAGCCACTCTGGAATTAAAGTTGGTTAAGACCTGGAGACACTGCAGTGGGAAGAGGTAGTTATCCTTCTAGCTTGAAACTTTGCAGGAACTATTCTATTTGGAAAATTGTTTTGGAAAGCAGGATATGAAGTACAACTGTTATAAAAAGATTAGTATTCTTCTTTTAACAACAATAAGTTTGCTTTTGGTTTCTTTATTTTCTCCTGGAAACTTCTCCTGGAAACTGACCATAGACTATCACTAGATGACTTAGAGGTTTCTAGAATTGTATTCTCTCTAAGAAACTGTAGTAGAACTGTAGTAGAACAGGGGAGCGTTGATGAGTGGATGCTCATGTCTTCTTCATCTCCAATGGTTTTTCACACTCAAAATCAATTCCTAAATATTTTTTACATTGTTTGGACAAGATTGCTTAGTAAATGCAACCATTCGGTAGTATTTTTTACCTAGGGGAGCTGTAAAAAAATAAAGAAAGATCAAGTAACCACAAAATAAGCAAGTTTGTTTTCTTCAAAGAAACAGTATAATACAAATTTTAGCCTTTATAATTTATAGCGCATTATGAAAGATTGTTATGAGGTAAATTACAGAATTGTCCTAAACCAGTGGTTCCCAACCTTTTTTGTAGGGACAGCTTGACCAGGGACCACTCTCCAACATTAGTACCAAAAGGGTTGCAAATCAGTTTTTGGACAATTTTAGATTTGGTTTGATTATTTGGGGTGCTGATTCAGAAAATTGCATTGGCTAGACCACATCAGTTCTGGTTTCTGATACAGAACATATACCATCCAGTAGTCACTATCTGCTTACCCACAGAAAACCATATTCAAGAAGCCTCGGCACTACAAGAGGGTTTTGCCAGACCAGTTGCTCTCATTGCAGTAGTGTAGTACCAATGAGGCCATGGACCATATTTTAGATCTTATGGACCACAGACCACAGGCTGGGAACCACTGTTCTAAGCAATCTCCTACTGATAGGATTTTGATTTTCTCCTCCTCATCCTTTAAAGTGTAATCACACAGTATATTTCTGTTTTCATATTTAAGGTCTCAAACCGGGCACTGTAAACTCAGGAAGAAGAGCATTTCCTCAGAAATCAGATACAATGTCATCTAATAGTAAATCTGTTTTATGTCCCATAATGTACTGCAATCGGAGATTTGACAATGGGCACCTTCTCTTAGGTCACCTTAAAAGGTAATTATTCTTTATGGTCGAAATGCATTGTTAGAGTACCTGAATTTGATACATATTGTCTTACAAGGAGTCTTTAGTACACCATTCACTGATCTATATAAATTTCTTGTAATGGTTTTGGAGATATATTCAGGGTTCACAAGTGCTGCATTTTAACTAGATAGTACAATAATGGTAAAGTAAATTATATGATAGTATTGATGCTGGTAGTTTTTTTTAATTGGCCATAATGAAAAGTTCCTAGTGCAAAATAATATTTTAGTAAAGCACTTGATGAAATGGACTGCTGTCCATACAAATGTATGCCAAATGAAACCAGTTAGGGATTTTTAAAATTCTTTTTGCTGCAATTGATCATCATAACCTCCTCTCTAGAAATATGTGTAAAGCACTTAATATATCAAGATGCCATTTCATCATGGCAGAAAGGGGATTATAAATAAATGTTATGATTATCGTTATTTTCTTAGGTTTGATCATTCACCATGTGATCCAGCAATTACACTCCGTGGACCTCCAGCCAATGCCTTTGCTTGTATAGTATGTGCTAGAAGATTTGCTACCTCCCAACAACACAATGATCATGTTTTATCGAAGGCAAGACTTTTAAGGATGGATGTATATAAATACAGTGTGTGTGTGGGGGGGGGGGGTTCTCCCTATTTAGATGCAGTGTTTTCATGCTGACACTTGTATGTCCATCTCTTCCATTTTTCATGCTTAAAAGTTAGAGGTCACATTGATTTATTTTAACTTGCCTTTTGTGTGAGAGGAACTACAAACGTATGCGTGTTACTTTACAAAAGCCTTTATTTGATTTAGAAAATTCCTTCTCACAGGCTTCAGCCTACTCTCCTCAGGACACCACTAAATTTGGCCCACTGACTCTCACAGGCTTCGGCCTACTAACTTTTTCAGTGTTTGACTCACACTTTTGTAATCAAAAATACCAGTTAATTTTTAATATTTCTGACATTTTAAATTTATATTTTAGTACTGTTTTAGTTCTGTAAACAGTTCACTGAAGAAAATGTCTTCCGTAACCCCAAAAAACATATCTCTACTCTTTTTAGAAAACTGCATTCTTGGATTTGTTTGTATGTATGTTTCATCTGTGTGTCCTCCTCTATTTGCAGGCTCATGAGAACGATGGCCATGAAATGAATTATCCTCCTCAGCATATTCAGTGCTTTGCGTGTCCATGCTGCTTCCTCCTTTTCAGCATAAGAGATGAATGTCTGCAGCATATGTCTGCAAAGAACCACTTTTCCCAGGCTTTTAAGCTGAATGGTAGGTTTCTTATTGTGATGTAAACATTGACCGTAACTGATTTGGAATGTTTGTATGTGTAAACGCCATAGTTACAGAGCTACACAGTGAATCCCACCTTAGTCTCTCTACACCCCATTTACCAGGAAGCAGCTTTTACAATCGATGGAGGTCTGTTCCTCTTTGCACCAGAGAGGTAGTTAACACATTTGTGACCACTTAACAGGATTCTGCTCCTTATTTCTATGTGAGATTAATGGTTCTTACTGATTTGTCCTTTAATCTAAAATACAGTGGCGCTGTCATCTTTAACAATGATTGTGTAGTTACCGTATCTAGAGGAACTGTTCCTATTCACAATTTATCAGTAAAGACAAACTGCAGTTTTGTCTGACAGTTCTCCTATTGTGTTTTGCCAAGTCCCAGTCAAACAAAAGACGGAAAACAGCAGAGCCCAAGGTCCAAGTCAAAATCCAGCACACAGCAGTTCAGAGTAAAGTTCAGAATCAACAAAGCCGATAATTAGGAAAGCCCCTACCCTAGAAACCTTTAAAAAGACCCTCAAAACCTGGCTCTTCTACTCCGCCTTTGGTGAGTAGGTACATAACCTCACACTATCACTCAGCCTCAACGTTTCTATCATTAGCATACACGTATGTCCCCCCCCTCGCGGGAAAGCTTGGTTCCAAAACCCCCTCCTTTTATCTCACCCGAGTTTTTAATCATTTTATTCTGCACATGTGGCCCGCCCATTGTCACTGTGATTGTAATTTTATGTTGCTAATGTATTTATATGTATTATTATTATTATTATTATTATTATTATTTTATGCAATTATGATTATGTTGCTTGTTGCTTGTGTGTTTGGTTTTACTTTGCTGTAATTTGTTGTTTGGGCCTGGCCTCATGTAAGCCGCCCTGAGTCCACGTTGGGGGAGATGGTGGTGGAGTATAAATAAAGTTGTTTATTATTATTATTATTATTATTCATAGAGTTCAAGTTCATACCACAATGCAAAGGAATATATCTGCACAGAGCCTTTAATTTGTTATCTCACTAGATGGCAAAATGACTTTGCTTATTTTCTTCTTCTTGGTTTTTAAATTTCGCCCCCCTCATCCCAGCCTCTGGCATATTGGGTATTGCTAACCTGATACTTATGTTTTTGTATTATTATCCCTTCATATGTAGTGGGAGGATACAAATTTAAAGCAAATGCAAAGTAACTATACTGATTCAGTTGAAAACAGCCCTGTATCCCAGCCTAATAGTTGGACAAAATGCCCATAGTCTGACTTCGACATTTTTCAGAAAGAGAGTTCCACAGCAATGGACTCACGGTCCAAAACAATTGTCAGTTCTGATCAGACATGATGCTGTGTTTCATTGCATAATAATTGCTTCCAGGTAATAGTTGCATTCCCATTGCGTGGGTGGCAACATTGGTATTTTTGTGTACCTCGCATAATAGTCATAGAGCCGTTTGGGGCTAATTCCCCTTCCTTGCTTCTGTCTCCAAAGGCAAAGCACTTTAAAAAACCTGAAATGTGGAGGTTTCTGAAACTGGCATCTTCCCTCCTTCCTCCAAAAAGCTCCATTTCAGATTTTGTAAAGTGCCTTGCTTTTTGGAGAAAGAAGTGAGGTAGGGGAATCGGCCCCAAATGGCTCTACAATGTATAAAAACAAACAGGAAACAGAGCAATTTGTTCAAGACTGGGTCATGCCTTCTCCTGTCTTGGAAGTAAGGCAGGTTAAAAAAAACCCCAAAGATTCAAAAGCAAGTTTTCTTTCATCAGGTAATAGTCACACATCCCCCCTTTTTAGTCAAAGAAGGGATAAAAAGTACAACTGTTACACAATGAAATACAGTATATATATGGTATTACTTATTTTGTTTCCTTGTTTGAATCATATGTAACTCAAAGCTTTTGAGAGAATATCACTTAGTTTGTCACTGTATTACTTTGTTATTAATTTTTTTTAAATGTTAGTTTTTTAAAAGTGAACTTGTTCACAGGGAAAATAATAATAATAATAATCATCATCATCATCATCATCTTTATTTATATGCCACTTTTCTCCCACAATGGGAACCCAAAGCAACTTCCAGCATGTTAAAAACAGAATACAAAGTTAAGCAACAATCAAATGTATGAATATAAAACATTGTAAGAAATCAAGGTAAAACAAACAGACATTTAACCTGTTGTGATATATGGTGAAATATAGTGCTATGTGTTGTAGGTGTCACACTCATAAAATGTAACCTGCCAATCTTTGCTTGTGACCTTTCGAAATCAAAATTTGGTGGTGCAGTGAGAAATGCTGATGCCTTTTCATTGGGTCGGTGTAGATAATCTTTGGTCCTTTATAACTCATTGATACTGTGCGTTCCATTGCAGATAAACAAGGCAACCAAGCTCCTTTGCCTTTCCCAGCCTTTGCAAAGAACCTCCTAATCTCTCTCTGTAAAGAAGTTCCATTCCAAGTGAAATGTACATCTTGCCATCAAGTTTTACGCTCCCATGTAGAGTTAACAGCACATTTCAGGTATGTGCCCGTCTTTGCTGAATGGATTGCAGAGCTATTCTCAGGATGGGAAGGAGGAGTAATCCACTACAATTGGAGTTAATCCAACTGGACTGCCAAGAGCCAAAATTCTTTTTCATTTGAGTTGTTAAGATCTTTTCTCCAGCAGTTTTTAATATCCTGCCTGACTAACCAGTCATGTTTGCCCTTCTCTGACCAATGTTTTAGGCAAGGGTATTAGCAAGGAAAAATAAAGAGGAGAGACAATGCAATCGAGTTAGACAAAGAAATGTGGGGAGAAAAGTAGCTGAAAATAGATGGAAATCACTTAAAGGCTCCAAAATGGAGAAGAACATTGCAGTAGCAATTATTTATCTCCCAGTAAGCTGTAAGTGCCATTTTGAAAATGCAGCTTTAATAGCTCCAATAGCAGCGGAGATAAAGAAGGGAAAAATCAGGAATATCAACTGATAAGAGGATGCAATAAAATAAAAATACCATATATACTCAAGTATAAGCCAAGTTTTTCAGCCCCTATTTTAGGCTGAAAAAGCCCCCCTCGGCTTATACTCGTAGGAAACCATCCAATTGGGATTTCCTGGTTTAGCTGCCCAGAGGGATGCTGTTGCTGAGGGAACATTAAAAAGAGTGGTGGTTCTCATGAAGCTTTTCCTTGAGGGAGGATGGTATAGAGATGTTTATGCTTAAAGAAATTGGTGAAAGGAGAATGGGATCTGTGCATAAAACATAGTTTAGACGGGCATCAGCATGTGCTTCCATGTTTACCATGGCAGCAGTTTTCGGGGTGCAGGAATTAGAGCCGCTTTAAATCCCAGTCCTGGGAGATATAAATAAATACCGGTATTAACATTAGGGCAGTGGCTCAAAGGTCGCTATTTATTTATTTATTTATTTATGACATTTATATGCCGCCCTTCTCACCCCTAAGGGGACTCAGAGTGGCTTACAAGATAAATATACATACAATATATATTATTAGCATAGTACAATATCAGTATTCAATATTACTATATTGTATAATACCATTATATTATAATATTATTAGTAATATTACATGTAATATAAATATATAATTATAATACCATATTATTAATATTAGTATTATATTGCATTACATTATAATATTATAAATATTATATGTATATACAATATATTATATTACATTATATTATATTATTAACATAGAACAGTAGACAAGGTGGAACTGTCTCCTAGCCCTCTCCCTCTTCACTCTATGCTTAAGCCATTGCGGTTGGCATAAAATCTAGAAATAACTCACTTTATGTGACTTTTAAAGATTAGTTACTCTTTATAATTTAAGGTGTTAGTGGAAAATAAAATTGAAAATGTTAGCAGAAAGTGCTCATAAGAAATAATGTTGATAATGTCAGTTGTTTTTGAGATGATCCACAGGGTTATAGTATCTTTTCCAATTCCAGGACTCGTTGTCGTAATGCTGGCCCAGTAGCTGTATCAAGGAAGAGCATTTCCCAAGTTGCTGAAATCTTTAAAGCCAAAGGGTTTTGTCGTAGTTGTGACAAGGTTTTGGTGGATGACAAATATATGAGTCAGCATCTTTGCAAAACAGTACCGAAAATTAAAAGGTTCAATACCATGGAAGAATCAGTCTTGATGACCTGTCATATCAATGAAGGGAATAAAAATGGCTCCCTGGTACAGAAGCATGTAAGCCTTTTAAAATCTTCTCCTCTGAAGAGACCTTTGGGCTGCAATGTATCTCTCAGTGATCAGAGAGAAACTTCAAAACGACAAAAGGATTTAGAGGGCAGAAGCCAAGTGGTCAACAGTCTTCATACTATCAAAACCTGGACATGTCAGTGCCTTTTAGCATTTCCTTCTGAGGAACTTGTAGAAAAACATCTCTTCTCTGAAAACAGCATCTGCCACAAATGTGGTGTCTGTGGCAAGCTTGCCGAAAACGCAAGTGTGATCCGTTTACACATGAGCCGGTTCCATGGAGGAGCACACTTGACTAACTTCTTCTTCTGGTGTCGGTCCTGCAGTGAAGCCCTTCAGAAAGAGGAGGATGTTATGGCCCATGTGACAGAACTTCATTCTGGGCATAGCTACTACTCTGAGAACGAGATTGCTGCAGATAAGCTTGCATTACCTTCTGATACCCATTGTGGTAAATCACTTGAAACGAACGACCAGCCTCCAAGCCCTATGGAGCTGTCTCCACCAGAGTCACCAATGGATCTGACTGCGGAAATTTCTTCCCAGTGGCAGTGTTGCATATGTGAGGAAGTATTTGACTCAGAGGATACTGTGAAGCAGCATTGCATGTCATTAGACAGCCATCACTTTCACAGGTACAGTTGTGGCTTGTGCAAAATGACATTTCGGAAGACAGAAACTTTGCGTCGACATTGTGAGGAAAAGCGCCACAATGTAGAGCAGTTTAAATACTTTTGTGGAATTTGTGGTGATCTCTTTTTTGATGCCGAGGAGCTGTTTTTATGTCACTACAAGGACATACATAGTACAGATTATGTCTGTGTTTCTGAAAGAGCAGAGGCATCAATCAAAACCTTGGAAGTAGTAGAAGAGAGCAACCTTCTCAGTTGTGGCTGTCGAGAAAAATATGCCAGCAAAGAGAATAGGATGGCAGACTACAAGAAGTGTCAAGAAACCATGCTAAAGCAGGGGAAAGTGTGGTTTCGCTGTATTCTATGTTCCTCAACAACTCAGAGCTGTGATGACATGATAGCTCATCTTAAGAGCCACACAGACAACCCATTACAAGACAAATTGTATGTAGTGCGGTGTGGAGCATGCACCAAAAGCTTTAGTGATATATTTAAATCTCTTCAGCATTATCATAGCAAACACTGCTTCTCACAGAAACCCCAACTGGCCTTTGGACCTCAGGCAGAAAGTGATGTTTTCCAGTTCTCTGCCAGTGGGTCCTGTGTGGATAAGAAGCCCTATAAACTGAAGCTTCCAGTAGTTGCGGACTCAGCTAGTTTTTTGGGGAAAAAAGCACTGAAATTGGAAGATGCGAACACAAAGCAGGTTAAGAAACCACATTCTGAGGTTCATGGCCAAAGTAAGTAGAAGTTATGTTATACTATTGAGATATGAACTAATATTATTGCTGATGGAAGCTTAACGCTCAGGTGATCAAGCTGAATATTTCAGAACATCTTAATGCAAACACTCAAAGTATGCCAGATGATATGATATTTCACCTTGTTGGGGATGGCAGTGTGATAAATCACTGAAGTACTGTCTCTCTTCACCAGCTTTATTTATCCAGCTGAGCATGCTCATCCAGGATCCTTGCTATTTTTCTGTTTACCAATCTGGCAGTATTTCCATCCCAGGGGGGCTGTTAACAAAAGCTATATAGATTAAGTGAGGCATAGTTAGGAACTAGCCAATAGTTACGGTTATTTAACTTATTTAATTTTAGTTGTTAAGTTATAATTCGTGTTTATGTATTGGGTCGTTTAAATAAGTATTGTTGTTGTATTTGGGCATTGAATGTTTGCCTTTTATGTTTGGAATCCACCCGAAGTTCCTTCGGGGAGATAGAGCAGAATATAAAGTTTTTATTAATATTATTCTCCCTAGTTGGAAACAGTGTCGTTTCCCCACACAGTATTTCCCTCTAATCGTGGCAAAGTGGTGATCTAGCTTGAGAAGCAAAGCCAATCCTTGTAATTTTAAGTGCTCCACAGTGTGATAGATATGCCAAAACAAAGCATTACATGATGATCTAAGACAGTGGTTCTCAACCTGTAGGTCCCCAGGTGTTTTGGCCTACAACTTCCAGAAATCCCAGCTAGTTTACCAGCTGTTAGGATTTCTGGGAGTTGGAAGCCAAAACATCTGGGGACCTAGAGAACCACTGCTCTAGGATCACATCTTTAGGCTTAGTGGGGAAGGAAGGGTTTTTTTGGTGGGGGCGGGGGGTGAGTGGGGAGGGTAGCATTAGCCCCCCCCCCATTTGACATCTCTGCAGATGTTGGGTTTAGCTGTTTCACTACTGCCAGGTTGTTAGACAAACAGGTCAGTTTTCATGCTCCCTTTTGAAAGAAACTCTTTTATAATTAAGTTTTAATAAACTTGCTTTTGGCAAGATCTAAATCTTCCCACTGAAAATGGGTGGAAGGATTTTATTGGGGAAGTGATGACCAGATGAGAGTATTTTAACTTCTGTGTATTGACAGTCAGGGCCATTTTCCTAATCAGATCTGCCTCACTCAAGTCACGCTTCAATTAAGACAGAAACAGTCACGTTACATAGATATCTTGTCAATCCCCCCCCCCCCCCCCAATTTGCAAGTTTAGTGACTTGTAGAGGTGAAATTTCAGTCAGGGCTCATGAATCAGACAGTAAGCAGGTGTATGATTGTGCCTGTCATTTCTTCCCTGACAGGACAAATTGTGATTTAGATGAGGAAAATGGCATAGGGAAGGAAGAGGTTATATAAGCCTTCCTGACTTAGTACCCATTAGGTCAGTGGTTCTCAACCTGGGATCCCCAGGTGTTTTTGGCCTTCAACTCCCAGAAATCCTAACAGCTGGTGAACTGGCTGGGATTTCTGGGAGTTGTAGGCCAACAACATCTGGGGACCCCAGGTTGAGAACCACTGCATTAGGTACTTTGGACAGCAAGCTCCCATGACCAGCATGGCCAGCATGCCAAATTGTCAAGCATGGCAATCTTCGTAGTCCAAAACATCTGGCGGCCATCTTCACAGTGTGGAACAATGGTTCTCAACCTGTGGGTTCCCAGGTGTTTTGGCCTACAACTCCCAGAAATCCCAGCTGTTAGGATTTCTGGCAGTTGAAGCACAAAACATCTAGGGACCCACAGGTTGAGAACCACTGGTGTAGGGTATCTCATGTACATCAAAAAGTAGCAATGCAGATTGAACCCAATTCCTTTCCTGGTCGTACACAATAATATACAGCAAAATCTAAATATGTGAATATTTCTACACGAAAGTGTACATCCTGAAAATCTTAGTGTTTAGAAAATCATGTTATGTTTAATGTCGGTATAACTTTCAAAATATGCATGCTTTTATTTTTAGTTTTTTCCTCATTATTTATATTTTCTTCTCTTTCCCACATTTAGATGATGTCGACCTACCTGACCTTGATTATTTGTGTACCATGACTCATATTATAATGATGGATTTAGATAACTGGGGAAGTTTTTTCAATCAGTTGCCCGCTACCCTTAACCAAGGAACCTTTATCTGGGGTTTTCAAGGTAAATATAACAAAAAGGGTTTTCAGGCATAAGCAAGAAAGGTTTGTAAATAAACAGATCATTTTTTAAAAATATATTTTTTTATTGTTTTATCATAGTTCAATACATTTGTTATACATTCTTTATTTTACAGCAGATACATATTATTCAATACAACCTACCATACTTTAACTTTTGGCATCTAGTGTTATTTTTCTGCTTATACATATTATCTATGCCTCACCACTGTGCTCCCCTCCCCCCCCCTCCTTCCCAAGCCACAGTTTTTACATATCATCTGTCCAAAATTTTAATTCTTCTTGTGGAGGTAACTTTCCTCCTTCCTTTTTAAATCCTTTTTCAATACATTTTCTCCATACATCATCAAAGTCACTTAGTTTCCATATACCTCTTTTAACTTTTAATATACATGTCAGCTTATCATTTATTACTAATTTCCATATTTCCTTGTACCACTCCTCTATTTGTATATTTATTTCTCTTTTCCAGTTCCTTGCTATAAGCAGTCTTGCTATTGTTAATAAGTTTGTTATCACATCTTTATCCTCTTTTTTTCAATTGTTTATTATTATATAATGCTAATAAACCTATACTAGGACTTCTTTCTATTTTAATGTTCATTGTATCTTTTATTTCTCTAAATACTTTCCCCTAAAGATTATTTACATATTTACATTGCCACCACATATGTATAAATGTTCCTGATTCTTGGCATCCTCTCCAGCAATTCTTTGAGTAATTTTTATTTATATCTGCTATTCTTACTGGTGTTAGATACCATTTCCATATTAACTTATAATAATTTTCTTTAACCCGTATTGATAATTTTTTTAGATGTCTTTGTCTCCATAATTGTTGCCACTCTGTTTCATTTATTTTTATCCCTAAATCTTCTTCCCAGACCTCCTTGAGGATGTTATTTTTTGTTTTTCCTTCCTTTATTTCAATTATTATCTTATATACTTTGCTAGTTATTCCTTTCAAATTTTCATGCTCCTCTATAACCCTTCCATTTTGTATTATTTGTTCAAATTGATTAAGCTTACTTCCATTTTTATTATTTTTTACCCAATTTTTAAACAATTGTATACAATGGAACCATGTCAATTTTATTTCTCTAAATTCTTCCATAATCCTTTCCTTCTTCATTCCAACCTTTATCCAATCCCCTATTTTTTTCCCTTAACATTTATCCATTACTTTTTAAAAAATGGAAATTTCTCTTCCATTACAACTGGGGTTATTACTGGACCATCCGCTATTAACAGTCTCCTATATTTGTTCCATACTTCAAATATATTGCTCAACATTGGGTTTCTAATTTTCCTAGTTTCTCGTAAACTCTTTAAAAAATATATTCCAGATTTCTTCCTCCACTTTTTCCCAATCATTCCTTGGCCAGTCTACACCCTCCTTTTTATCATTCCTTCTATAACCAATAAACAGATAATTTTTAGAGGCTTAGAAAGGTGAAAAATCCAGTGTCATGTTGCTCTTCTGCTGAAAGCACCTGAGCTAAATCATATATCTGTCTGTCCATTGAATCCAATCCATGGCAGGTACTCTTTGATTCAAGAATTGGTGGTTCCCATGGTTTACTTGGGATCTTGATTTGATTTTAGATAGGTTTCTAATCCTCCTCATTGTTGAAGTAATGAAAACAATAATTCTCAATTTATCACATTAAAATTATAAAATGAACATAGGGTGCAAAATATTTTAAAGGCATAAACTTCAGGAAAACATACGTGTCCATCAGGATTGAGGAGACTGGGCCAAGAAATGTTCCTTAATTAGGTACAGGTTGATTATCACTTATCTGAAATGCTTGAGATCAGAACTGTTTGGGATTTGAGATTTGTTTTCAGATTTTTGAATACTGGCATGTATTGCTTCAGGGACCGAGGTCTAAGCACAACATTCATTTGTGCTACACATACATTTTATATTGAAGGTTTCCCCTTGACATCAAGCCTAGTCGAGTCCGACTCTGGGGGGTGGTACTCATCTCCATTTCTAAGCCGAAGAGCCGGTGTTGTCCATAGATGCTTGCAAGGTCATGTGGCTGGCATGATTGCATGGATCACAATTACCTTCCTGCCAAAGCGGTACCTATTGATCTACTCACATTTGCATGTTTTTGAACTGCTAGGTTAGCAGAAGCTGGGGCTAACAGCAGGAGCTCACCCCACTCCCCGGATTTGGACCACTGACTTTTCAGTCAGCAGGTTCAGCAACTCAACCGTTTAACCCGCTGCGCCACTGGGGGGTGCCTGTAAATTTTTTACACATAGCTTAAAGGTCATTTTGTGTGCAGTATTTTTAATAATGTTACGCATAAAACAAAAGTTAGCATACACTGAAACATCAGAGTGCCAGTGTCACTATCTTAGTCCCTAGGTGGACAATTTTAGATTTTGGAGCATTTCAGATTTCCAGAGAAGGAATACTCAACATATACTTAGTTAAATACACAAACCGATACCAAATTACAGCCCATATTTCTGCATTGCCTCTCACCATTCTGGAACTCTTGGTTCTTTTTTCCCCATTTTTTTCCATTTATATTTATATTTTGAAAAACTATTAATTTCTGTAGTATGTCTGGAGAACAGGAAACTGTTAATACAATTTTCTTTTTTTAAGGTACTCTAAATAGTAGTAGCATTAGTTGCTCATGCATTACATTCATTTGGGTGAATGTACCATATATACTTGTGTTTAACTCAACCTTATGTTTAAGTCAAGGGAAGGTTTGAGGGCTAAAATTATGGATTTTGATATGATCCGGGGAAAGGCAAGGGTCATCCGATGAAGGAGGGAAAGCACCGGTGCTGCCTCAGTGCCAGCCCCCCCCCCTCCCCCGGCCACTGCTGCCACCACTTCCTTACCCAGGAATCCCCCAAATCTTGGTGTAATGCTAGATATTTATTACTTCTATAATAAATAGTCTAGCTCAACTGTTGTTTCTCAGTGTTTTGTAAATTGCAGTCTTATTTCCTAGCTTTTGTGGGTGAGAAATTCAACAAGATTTCCCAGCTTAGTAAGAGAACTTACCTTAAAAAGAGAGCAGTTTGAGAAATATTTACGTAATGTAATAGAATTAGCATCTGTATGATTTTATATTCTAGTATGTGGGTGGACATTTTGTAGCCATTTTCACCCCCCACCATTTGATGGGAGTTATAGTCCAACATCATTGAAGGAACAATAGAACCATAGAGTTGAAAGGAACCCCCAAGGGCCATCCAGTCCAACTCCTTGCCCTGTTGGAACGCACAAAGCTCTCCTGACAGATGACCATTCAGGATTTGCTGAAAAACCTCCAGAGTCCGCACTGCCAGAAAACTTGGGATAAGCAGATATTCTGGGATCAGATCCTGGGATATAGGGACAGTGTGGAAAGGCCCTCAATTAAATAAATACTAGACATTCAACACATTGTTTCAACTTTGCCCTTTGTTCTGACAGCTCCTAAATTTCTAAAGATAACTTTTGTTCCATTGTTTAGGTGGAAACACCAATTGGAAGCCACCTGTGGCTTGCAAGATTTTTAATTACCTTAACAAGATTGGATGTTTTTTCCTCCATCCACACTGTGGTAAAGGGAAAGATGCCGCTGATTTTGCCATCTGTGTGCATGTAAGTTTGTGGGCTTCAGTCTTGTTAAATTATATTGAGAACTCAAACCATAAGTGTTAAATTTATTGAGCTCTTTGATGCATTTACCTGAAAAATTCCAACGTAACATGTTTCTTTAAACGTTTTGAGTAGCACATAAAGAATTAGATTGAGATCTTAAACCAGAGAGTCTGAATTTTGGTTAATTACACCTCAAAAGTTCCTTTGGTTACTCAGAAGAATATCCCCAAATAGTGAATTAGCCATAGAATCATAGAGTTGGAAGAGACCTCATGAGCCATCCAGTCCAACCCCCTGCCAAGAAGCAGGAAAATCGCATTCAAAGCACCATCCAGCCTCTGTTTAAAAGCCTCCATAGAAGGAACCTCCACCACACTCCGGGGCAGAGAGTTCTACTGCTGAACAGCTCTCACAGTCAGGAAGTTCTTCCTCATGTTCAGGTGGGATCTCCTTTTCTGTAGTTTGAAGCCATTGTTCTGTGTCCTAGTCTCCAGGGCAGCAGAAAACAAGCTTGCTCCCTCCTCCCTGTGACTTCCTCTCACATATTTATACATGGCTATCATATCTCCTCTCAGTCTTCTCTTCTGCAGGCTAAATATGCCCAGCTCTTTAAGATGCTCCTCATAGGACTTGTTCTCCAGACCCTTGATCATTTTAGTCGCCCTCCTCTGGACATATTCCAGCTTGTCAATATCTCTCTTCAGTTGTGGTGCCCAGAATTGGACACAGTATTCCAGGTGTGGTCTGACCAAGGCAGAATAGAGGAGTAGCATGACTTCCCTGGATCTAGACACTATGCTTCTATTGATGCAGGCCAAAATCCCATTGGCTTGTTTAGCTGCAGCATCACATTGTTGGCTCATGCTTAAGGACTCAAGATCTTTTTTCACTTGTACTGCTGTTGAGAGAAACATCAGGGAATGATTCTTTATGACATTATCAAGTGGTTCATGCTTCCTATTATCTATACAGATTTTTGGCATTACAATAGAGGGAAAACCAGTTATATTGTGAATCTACCCCAATTTCTTGTTCTTCTGTGAAATAACCCTATAGAATAATAATACTGTATGAAGAACTGTACAGTTTCTCTCTTGAATGAGAGCAATGAGGAAAAAATCTAATGGGAACATCCTTTGCTCGGCCTGACTTTTGGGGTAAGGAGAAAGGCTTAGGCACCATCCACACAACTGAGTAAAATCCTATATTATCTGCTTTGAACTGGAATATATGGCAGTGTGGATTCAGATAACCCAGTTCAAAGCAGATACTCTATTTTTTGCCTTGATATTCTGGGTTACATGGCTGTGTGGAAGGGCCCTTAGTCTTTAATTAATCTATTTGATTACTGGTCTACTGTTAGAATCCCGCTTCAGTTCAGAAGATTAGGCTGAGTGGCCTTTGAGTCATTTCCACCTTAACTGTTTACGTTTTACTGATGAATGCTGTGCGAAGTGTCTCTTCGATAAAGATGCCCTTCAGATTTCAAATAACAATACTGTGTTTTCACAGGTGGGCCGTTTGGATGAACACCTGCCAAAACATATTCCTTTCACCATTCTTTCTGGAGACAAAGGTTTTCTTGAGCTGGAGAACCAGCTCAAGATGACACAGCGGACAACCCGCATTCTGGATCCTCATAAACTTGATGCTGATGTGATGTGTGCCTTATTAAACAGCATTTCAGATACAGCCAAAGGTAGGCTTTTCTAATATGAGATATTTGTCACCTGATAAAATAATTAGAATAAAAATACTTACTTTTATGGAATCGTTTATAAATATTATTATATATGTAGTGACTTTTTATACAGGATTTTTATACAAATTGTATTTCTTGGATGGAAAAAGACATATGCCCACCTTCCAGAGCCCTAATTTCCAATATATAATTATATATAAAATATATATTGTATCTATATAATACATATAATTTCCAATATATAGTATTGCTAAATCCAGAAGTATATATTAGGCTTGCGCAATCCGGGTAAATCTTGATCCATTTTGGTGTCCTGGATTTCCGTGGGGCTCCCAATTGGTGGCAATAGGGGTGGGGGGTGAACCAAAACCCAACTAACTGGTGAGTTGCCATCCATAAATGGTGGAGGTCTTACATGGCACTCAGACCGAATTTGAGGTCTTACATGGCACTCAGACGTCATGATGAAGCCATCAGCAATGCAGTGAAGCCTGGACCAAGAGTCACATCCACAAGGTGATGTTGCTGGTTGACCTCACTTCACCTGCACAACGGCTGGACCAATTCAAGGTGCCATGCTCTCCCGCCTGATTGCCTGGGCAGAGGACTGAATAAGAGATTGCTCATTTTTAACTCCACCCATTGAGTTTTCGGTATCCAAGTTATGACTGTCACCCCAATATCTGAAAGGTGTAATATGAGGGTGCAGCAGGCAATAACTAGCCATTTCTTGATCTAAGAGAGATAAATTTTATTAAAATAAAAAGGTAGAAAAACAGAACTGGAGCGCTCGAAGGAGCCAAGAATGGGACCCTACGGAGTGCAACTACATTCATTTTTATAGGTTCACAATACAATGTTGCCCTTTTGAGGTGTCACTCAATTAGTCAGGGCAACAGGGTAATTCTATAGCATAACACATCACTTACCTTATGCCCTCCTTGAGTCCAGTTCTAATCAATTGACGCTCCTTATCCCAGCCCAGCAAGGGAGGAGATTGGCAGTCTGGTTATCAAGTCCATCAGTTTCCAGCAGGGCAGGCCACACTGTACCCTCAAGTCTGTAGAGCAGTGCTTCTCAGCCTAGGGTCCCCAGATGTTTTTGGCCTACAACTCCCAGAAATCCCAGCCAGTTTACCAGCTGTTAGGATTTCTGGGAGTTGAAGGCCAAAAACATCTGGGGACCCCAGGTTGAGAAGCACTGCTGTAGCGGAAGTAGCAAGGAATCTAGGAAGCAGGGAATCTTAGTGTTATCTCTGATCAATGATTTGGCATAACATGAAATGTTTCCTGTATTACTCTGCCTCTCTGGTAGGAGGATTACTGAAGCTTTGACTGGGCTTGGACACTGTCTTACATGTAAATCATGTAGAAGGAACATTCAGGCATCTTCCTGATGGTCCTTAAATTCTATTCAGTTGTAACTTTTTTTGTTTTATGAACACACAGGAGTATACATAAACTATGTAATTGATAGTCCATGATTTTTACACTTTTCCTTCTAGACTATCAAAAGTTTGTCTTTCAAACCAAATCTTGCTAATGAAAATGTGTTTAAGGTGAAGTTAGTTCCACTTTGCAATTCTTCCCAAAGGCTCCGGACTGTATCATTACTTTATTCTCTCCTGCTTCCACCCTATGAATTTTCACAGCGATAGTTTAGCAGTGGATTGTTGCTTCAAGTGAGTGTGAAAAGAACCCTTTACTATCTTTTATTGATAAAATATACACAATGGGCCATAGTAACTGACAGTTACCAATTAAAGCTCCAAAGAGGGGGAAAATGCATCACAAGAGCTAAAACAATATTTGTTATCTGTTTGCAGAAAATGAAGAAGGTACTGAAATGGCAATAGAAGAAAACTTGCAAGCAGCAAAGGCCCAAGAGGGTATGCCTTAGTCTTCGTGTAAAATGCTGATCACAGAGTCAGAAGCTATAGAAAAGTTTGATATGAACTGGAAAATTGTATACAGTAATGTTTCCCTATGTGGGTATATTTCTTAGCATTATATGCACTGTGGTGAAGAAAATTGGATAAGTGGACAAGTGAGAATATCCTCAAAATAAGCGACTGCAGGACTATTTCAGAATTGTATGAGCCAGCAGTTCTGCATGGGGAATATGCATGTCCTGCCTCTCAGCGTACATGGATATGACACTTCTTTTAAGCTCTGTGTTAGTACAGAGACTAACCGCTTCGTGCAGTCTGTAGAAGTTGTGGGAGCCAGTTAGCCACTGTGCTTACTCCCAGGTGTTAGCAACATATATGAAGCAGCACAAAATAAAATTGCTTCAGAAGGGAGGTATCAATGGGAGAGCACATGTTCTGCACAGGTCTAAAATTCAGCCCTGAGAATCTCCAAATAAGAGCTGAATAGCTTTTGACAGTTCAGCTAGATAGATTAACATTGTGCTAACTAGAGCAAAGGTCTCTGTCAAGACTTACCTAGTGAGGATATGATTAATCGTGAATTTAATAGAGTTCCTATTCTGTCTTATGTTTGCTTTGTATTTATTTTAGTTTGAATTGTATTACTTTACATGCTATTTGTTTGAGCAGAAAGGCATGTTGTCATTGTAATAACCTGGGAACAAAACCTATAGTCTATTTGATAGGCCAGAATACCTTCAGAGATTAAGACGGTAGCCTGTTACTTTTGTATACCTGTAAATACTAGAATTCTTACTGCATCTCTCACTGGTTTAAATGATAATGGTATATCCACTTGTACTGAAAATAGCAAAGAAATTATTCAACGTGGCATTAATTAGGAAGCCAGAATTATTCTCAAGGTACTATCCAGGCTTGATTGCTCCTTGATTCATATTCTGTCATTTTTGATGCAGAGGAAGATGCAGACCTCCAGGAGGCAATCAAGAGAAGTCTTGAGGAAATGTGAAGATGTCTCAAGATTAGTGCAATAAAACATCTAAAGTGCTTTACAAGTAACAGAAAATGTGTTGAACATTTTACAAAAGATTAAAAAAAAATTCGGTAAACATTTCCAAGCCTCAACTACCTTTAAAGAGCTGAGCTGTCAGCCACCATCTTGCCTACTTTGTATCTGTCAAAGTTGCACTGGATCTTCTGTGCATTTTAATGCACCTTGAGTTTCAGCTACATTTCATTACTGGAGTAATGGATTGTTTAATGCCACATATTTTGAAATCCTCCAAATGTGGCTGTTCGATTGAGCTAAAAAAATAGCTTATGATTTTCATTTTTTCTTGTAAGCATTTCATTTCTTCTTGGCTTTTAACATCGTGTTTCCTTTTATAAAAGCACCACTGTCCCTTTGAATGTGTATTTATAGCACACATGTTGCAATAGAAAGAAGTCGTACATCCTGATTTCCTGGGAATATCTTGTCTTTGTTAAATAATTCATAAAGAAATTAGATATTCCTTGATCTTAAGGAGTACAGGCAAATTCATGCGGTGTTTCTGTGACCAATGAACTATAACAGGCTCTAAGATCTAGCAATTCTCTTTTTCCTGTATCTTGGGTCTTATGTATGTATATTTGTATTTTGATATTTTTTGTTGACTGGACAATGTATGTATATTTTGTCCTACGTGTACTGCAATAAAGTATTTTCTCTTCTTTTAGTAATGTAACTTTGGGAAAACAAAGCCTTCTGCATTCCTACTTTATTAATTTATTGTTATTAGTTTGCAGACTATAGTGCTATATTTCAGCATAACTAACATTAAAATATTTCAAATATTCTTGTATTATGTATGTCTTCATTTCATCTAAATAATTCTTGTAAGTGTTGCAACTTCCTGTTGTCAGCCATATGTACACAAATACCAGATAACTCAGCCTCTGTAGTAGTTCACTATGCATAAAGGAGTAGAATGCAGTAGAAGCTAAATGTAAACTTCCTGATCGAAAGCAGATACAATGGAAAGATGCTGGAGTGATCTAAATAATGTTGCATTACATGTTTTCTTTTGTTAGGCACAAAATGCACCATACATAAAAAAAATTATACTTTTAAACTGAGTTGAGAAAGGATTCAGGTTATTTTTCCTAGAAAGCAGAGTTTATTATTATTATTATTATTATTATTATTGACACAAAAGCACAGTATGTCACAGCAAACGAGATCTATATGCTGGATTTCGTATTCCAAAATTTATTTATTTATTTATTTATTTCATTTACTTATACCCCGCCCTTCTCACCCCGGGGGGGACTCAGGGCGGCTTACAGGGAAGGCACAATTAGATGCCCAAATCACACAACAAGCAATACAAAATATAACAATTCAACAATTAAATTAAAACATCAATACCTACTAAAATCATAAAACAATCTCATGTCAGAGTCCATATATCAGAGTCCATATATCCATTCCATTCCATTAGTCTTGTCTATCAACAGGTCCAAAAGGTAATTGTCAGAATGACCAAAAGCTTGGTCCCACACCCAGGTCTTTAGTTTTTTTCTAAACGCTAGAAGGGAA